TGATGGACGTGGCCATGGTGACTTGGATTTGGATGAGTCCATGCGGATGTTCGATGTCAGGGTTGAAGATGGTTATGATTCGGATTATGATTCTCTTGATGGTTGGAAACCGCAATTTCCTCTTGAGCCACGTGGAACTGAAGGGTCTGAATATACCCCCTCTAGCCCAAGGGTCAGTGAACCTGATGCTAGTCTGTTTGATGAACTATTGGGGGAGTTTCTGCCGGTTCCGGGGGGTGTCATCAAGAAAGTAGGAAAGGTCAAGGGAACTTTCATCGAATTTTGCTGTGAAGACAACTCATCAATTTCGAGGGTGGCTGATATCCTTGGTATTGCGTATCTTGGCATCACAAAAGAATCTCTCAACATCCAAGACGACGATGCTTTTCAACAACTTCTTTTCTGGTTGCAAGAAGAAATACAGGATGGAAACGGTCCTATTCATTTGTGGAGTTCCCTCCCATGCACGGTATGGTCCCCATGGCAAAGAATGGCCATTGCTAAGTATGGTAGCTCCTACAAACGTAAACTTCAGAAAAGAAGAGCTGAGTCTTTAGAGATGGTTAAGAGGTTTCGTGATGTTGCCGAAATGGTAAAACTTTCTAGGGGAGGTTCCGTTACTTTTGAGTGGTCTCGAGATTCAGAGGGATGGGATCAACCACTTGTCAAAGACACTATGGTGGCGCTCGACCTGCAACCTGTCCGCATAGACGGCTGTGCATTTGGGTTGGCCATCAATGGCAAACATCCCCAGAGGCCTTGGTTGGCGCAAACCGACAACAAACGTTTGGTCAAAGAGTTTCAACACAAGAAGTGTAAACATGAGAAGGATTTTCATGATTCACTTGAAGGATCCCTAACGACCAAGTCTGGAATCTACAATGTGACCATGGCTACCAGTATTTTGACCACGTTGTTCCCGGGCGTTGTTGCAGACCTTGTTCCTGCAATGCCAGTTCTTCCTTTTAAATTGGATCCCCATAGGGCACGACTTCATGACTTTCACACTCAAGAACTTTGTGTTTTGGGAACTATTCACAAGTTGTTGACCCGTGAAGAAATGAGATCCGATCCCAAAGCTCTGCAAGCAATTTGGGAGGAAGGTCAGGGAGTTCGCGCCAAAGATGTTTGGGACGATAACTCTGTCATGGAAAAGAGTGAAAGGATTTCTCAGGCACAGAAGGACAACAAGGTCATCCACATTGCCGACGTAATGCCGATCGCAAGCATCAAGTTCTGGGAAACCCCCTCAAAGAGAAAGTACAAAGGGAGGTTGGTCTTTAGGGGAGACCAGGTAAAAGATTCTTGGGGTGGAGCAGCGCAGTTTGGAGCGATGTTCAGTACTCCAACTAACACTCAGGCTATAAACTTGGCAGTGTTTTATGGACTATTGTTGGGTAACGAGTTGAAAGCTGCGGATTGTACTCGTGCCTTTCTGCAAGCTATGCTATTGATGAAAGAGGAAACCTTCGTGGTATTGCCTCAAGAACTATGGCTTCCAGGATGGGCTGGAAAGTACAAACAGCCAACGGTGCGCCTGAGAAAGGCGCTTTACGGACATCCACTTGCATCAGCGTGCTGGGACCTTCACCTCCGCCAGGTTCTCCAAGGTGATTTGGGACTGCCAATGGAGGGGCATCCCAGTGTGTATTATTGCCCTAAAACGTTTCTTTTAGTGGTGATATACGTCGATGATGTCTTGGTGTCAGGTCCAAAGGCGCATCAATCGGCTTTCTGGAAAGAGTTGCAACGTTTAGTGGAAACCGACGAGGTAGAGGACCTCAATCAGTTTATTGGGAGAAACCACGAACTTTCGGAAGGGCAGTGTGTTTTCAACATGGTTGATTATTGCCAACAAGCCATTGACTTGTACCTTGAAGCCGCCGGAAATGTTTCCTTAAGACGTGTCTCCACCCCATATGTCAATGAGGGTGTGCTCACAATGGAAGACTATCAGGTTCAAGGTCAGATTTCCCACAAAGCGTCTAGCGTTTTGATGAAACTCTTATGGGTTTGTCGACTGGCACGGCCAGATTTGGCATATCCCATAGGCATGTTGGCAACTCAGGTGACCCGTTGGAGTCGCAATGCTGACAAACAACTTTTCCGATTGGTTAGCTACCTTCACACCACACGTGATCTTTGTTTGGTTTCCCGTGTTGTTGATGCACCTTCCTCATGCTCGCTCTGTTTGTACGTAGATGCTGACCTGGGGGGATGTCCTTTTACAGCCAAATCTACTTCTGGGCTTTTCTTGGTCATCACTGGGCCAATCGGGACTTTTGCCCCAATAGCATGGTCCTCTAGGAGACAACAACATGTGGCTAGGAGCACGGCCGACTCGGAGTTGAATGCTCTTTCAGAGGGTGTGCATGAGGAACTTGCTCCAGCCCTCATGTTACTCCAAACTCTTTTGGGCAAAGAAACCCCCAAAGCCATTGTCAAGGAAGACAATTCTGCTGTAGTTCAATCTATCCGCAAAGGATATTCCATTAAGCTTCGCCATCTAGCACGAACACCCAAGTTGTCACTTGCATCCCTGAACGAAGCCTGCACCACCTGGTGCCAACTTGAGCAGACACCCACCCGAGATCAATTAGGAGATATATTCACTAAGGCATTAACCTCAGGCAAATTTGATCCTCAGTCCATTGGTCTCACTCACTGGGCCTCGTCCACACCTTAGAGTTTGGTCAGAACCCTAGTTGCCAGCCTGCGGTTGCCTTAGTTGGAGGTGCCTTGGCCTGAAGACCAAACAGGTTTGGGGTGAGATTCCTGCGCTTGCGCGGACTCATCCGAGGAATCTTGCGCTTGGCGCTGGCTTTGGCTCTTCACTGCATGATTGCCTTTTTCTCGCTGCTGCCTCCAACGATGGCTGCTGATGAGTGGGCATTTGTTTGAACAATTAGGATCTTTTGCATTTTGTTTTGCTGTGCCTTACGGTTGAAATAGGTCCACGCCTAAGTTGCGAGCGCAGCCTTGGCCGGGGAGGCTGCATTCGCAGCTGACTTGGACTTGTTTGCTTCTGACCTTCATTTCAACCGCGGGGGGACGTTTGATGTCACACAGCAATGCAGTCATAAACAGCGTACAGATCACAAGCTGTTTGAGATCAGAACTTGTCAGGAAGTGTTCCCTCCAATGAGTGGAACTGCCAAAGTCTCAATGACATTTGGCTCAAGGCTTGAAGTGAAAAGGCGTTAGCCTTGGCTGAAACTCATAAAACTGTGATACCTTCCCTTTATGCCATACCCTTTCTGCTTTACCTTAGCACATCCTTTTGTGGATTTCGGGTAGCGGCAGTTCTAGGGGCCGCGTCGCTGCCACGTAGCACACCTCCTACAGGCCACCGAGCTTGGCAGGTTCTTGCGCTTTTCCTGGTAGGGCTGCCGGTGATTGGCGGGCAGAGCCGGAAGGGGAACACTTTTCGAGCCGGAAGGAGCAATTCCAACTTGGAGTGCACCTCTTTTGGTCTTTTGGGCAACCCAAAAGGGGAAAAACAATTAGAACATGAAGGATCAACTCCAACTTGGAGCATACCTTTTGCCTTTTGCGGTCCACCCGAGGGAGGCCCTTCCAACTTGAAGCATACCACTTGTGGTGTAAAGTTTGAGTGGGTGCTGGTAGGAATGTAAAATTTGCCTTTCAGATACTTAAAACATTTTGTGTATGTAATAGGGTCAAGCCTAGTAAAAAACACATACTGTATGTGTTGGAAATCAATTGGGACCAAAAGGAAATCAAAGACAAATATATAATCCATTTGACATCCAAAGGTTCACAAGGAAATTGAAAGGAACCACAAATAGTTTAAACAGAAATTGATAATTAGGAATCAAAACAGGAAATCAACAAATGAAAAGCACAGACCTTATTTCAGACGATATTGTTTTGTTTAAAATCATACCATGGCACAAGTGCAGACAATATTTGAGGATGTAATCTTATGTAAACATGGAGAAACGTAGACATGAACCCAGGTTTGCCAATCATCATATTAAGCCAAAAAGGGCACATATGGTAGGGTCCTAGGGTCTATATTATATATTCAATTTTTCTAGAGTGCTGGGCTGCCTCCTTTGTGTAATGCATAGATGTTTGCAAAAAACTAAACAGATTTGATCTCAGTGGCTTAAACAAACTTGAAAGAACACTAAGAGGAATTCGGCAGAAGTTAAGATATTTACATGGCTCGTCACAGACCGCTCTGAATACCTTGCGTGACAACATTCTGTTTCAAATATGTCAGGTGCGTATGAGGAACTTTTGCGTCAGATTGTGTTCCAAGTACACGAGTTGTACTTGATATCCTACTCAAAGCGATTGCGTTTGAAATTGTGGCGCCTATATAGTTAGTTACAGGTATCCTGCTTTTGGCGCATTGTTCATGTATGGCTTATAAATTTCCAGATTACTGTATGTGGTAGTCTGTATTTAAAAAAACTTTTTCCATGCTGTGCTCATGTTTTTTGGAACATTTACTTTAGCAAAAAAACTAGTTGCCAACTAAGTCATGTTTCTAACTTATATACTAAAATCAATGCAAACTAAATGTACTTCAGGCACTTTGCGAACCTCGAAGTGCGGATTTCATGGCAGGGGCATCGCTTTGAACCTCAAAGTGCGGATTTCGTGGCATGCACAACATGTTGTGGACCTCGGAGTGTCGATTGCGACGTTCTGTTAACCTTGGAGTGCGTCGAAGTGTAGGTTTTGTTGCAGGCGCGGATGTTGATTTTATGGTAGGTGGCGTAAGACATGTTCTTTTATCGGAAACAATGTATTTGATACATCGGCCGAGGAACTTAAATCTGTTCCTGAAACTATTCAGATTGGCATGAAACGACTTCTAACTGCCTTGCTTGGAGCTGGGGAAGGTGGATTTGGTCACTGCGAGTTTTCCCGGTCACCTTGGACCTTGGGGTTGATTGGGTGATGCCATCAGTGATGCCAAAACCACATTGGCACAATCTGCCGCCGCGCTTTCCACAGCGGGGCAGGCCAAACCGGGCTACCTTGGGGGCATCAAGCCTGAGCTGTGGGAGGCATCTGGGTGATGTGACACCAAGCTTGCACAAACCTCCCAGGAAAAACTGAAACTGGCTTGTGAAAGATTGAAGCTTTGGATTTTTTTGCAGTTTGCCCAACGGTTGTGCACCCACAACTCCAACTCCTGTCTCTTTGTCGTCAAGTCGAGTGCTCTGGGAATGTCAAGTCCGTGCGGTTCGACCATGTTGAAGTTACCAATGTGCGAACGAACAGTGTTCAGCGATGCATGTGCGATGCATGTGCGGCATCGTTCAAACAAAACATATCGGGCCCAGGCGTGTGGCATTGCCCGCATGGGACATCGCTTGCTTTTTGCCAAAGCCATTCTAGCTTTGCTTGACACTCAGTGCTGTGCCGCTTTGAGATCATGGACTCCACAAGTATCCCCAAACGAAAAACCACATGTTGCATCTTCGTCCGGCCTGATCATTTCGTTAGAGGCGGGTGGCGGGTGTTCCAAGAAGCTCCCCTTTGGTCAATTTAAAGTATTTTTTTCTAGCCCTACATCGAGCAAATAGTGTTTTCCACAAACAAATCGTGAGTCTGACCCCCACAACAGGAAAAGAAAGCACACAAGACTCACATTGATCGCAATATATCGCAATGCATTATGGCGGGTTTTGTTGTTTTGAGACCTTTGAGTTTACGATCGTATACAGCACGTGTCAATGCTACTGCTTGACCACATGAAAGATACATTGTCACAACCGTGAAGTGTTCATGATTTATCTCCGTACGAGACTGGTTCAATCCGGATCATCGTTGGGTCAGGTGACCTGTGCGCTCCCTTTCGAAGGCGCGAGAAGAAAAATAGCAGCGCCGTCGGATACAAGTGATTCCCGTTGATGGGACAAGTAAGGCCAAGCTGTCATGCACCCTCCCTGTGAGTTTGGTGTGTCCGTAGGCCTCGAAGCGAGAACGACCTTAGTCTGTTCGGTGACGGGTGACCAGAGCTCTTGCCCTGGTGTACCATGCAGACCTACCATGTTGATACAACTCTTGTGGGGCTTAGTGTGCGCCAGTCCACCTGGCTTTGCAACTACCACCGTTGCTGCAAGATGATGGCTTCGAACAGTTGAGTTCAGACGATCTTGAGGTCTCCCAACAAGGGCATTGAGCAGATTGCACAGCTTGATTGAAGAACTTGGACCTTGCATCAACGTCACTCAAGTGTCTTGCAAGCGTTTGTTTGTGTTAGCCATGGCGAAGCTGAAGCTGCTGAAGAAGCCAGTCTGGCTGCCTTGCTTTCAACCGCTTCATAGCGAATGCACCTGGTGGCTTTCTTTTGAACCGATCGGTTGAGACTCCGATCCTCCCAAGTCAAGTGCAGACATCAGCCAGCCAGGCTCGTGGAAGCAGCTCCAAGAAGCCCAAAGCGAAGGCGCTCTGAAGTGCCGGTGAGATCCAGCTGGTGTTGCGGCAGCTGATGACAGTGCCCGGTTTGCATACGCTACACTTGACCCACGAAGTTGACTTCAAAGATTGAACACAAACTGGGGAGAAAGGATGAGAAAGGCTACACCTATAGGTATACTAATTATAACCTAAACACTTATGGCTTATATATGTAATTGTCGTACTCCATCAGCAGGACAACAATTTCCATATTGGTTTCTAATTTGCTGAAATTGGTTTCGTTTCCAATTTGATGTCCATTCATCACCGACTTCAACCCAGTTTCTGCCGCATGCGACTGAGTAAGCTCGTGATAGGGGGCGACTGTGGCGAGCGGCCGAAGGGCAAGGTGGCAAGTCTTTTCAGGACAGCAGCTTGGCATGGCAAGGCGACAAGATCTTGTGAGACTGCACTTGCTCAGAAATAGAGATTGATTAATTATGATTAGCTCATGCTTGGGATGCTTGGGTTTCATCGTCGTGTTCTGAAGCAAACGGCTGATCGAGTGAGTCATCCTGAGGGAGAGGAATCATGACTAGGTGACCTTTTTTTTGTCGCGGCTCATGTTCCACAGGCAACATCCGAGTCACTGTTGTGAAATAATGCCAGGACTGGTGCGAGACTCGCCAAGGATGAGAGAGCAAGAGAGAGGCTTTCAAGCCACAAAAACTGACAGAGAAAGCAACATGAAATGATATCTGAAGCTGGTAAGACTCATCGGCCCACATATTGGCCTTCATTGCAGCTCCCAACCGCACAGATGCTGAGGAAACAGAAGACGGTGGGTCGGCTAAAGAAGGCGCAACTCACGAAAAACAGGCGCAGCAAACGCGTTTTTGCACAACGGCTCACCAACTCAGCAACAGCAAATCAGGACTTTTGAGGGTTTTCCATTGCGAGATGCGCATTCTTTATATTTCGCGCCCCTCGCCCGCACTACTGCAGCACACTGTCAAGGACACTATTTGATCGCTTTTGCCAGAGGGCCTTTGGAAGGAACACGCCCCGTAGAATCCCAAAGAATTGCTTCTCGTTGAGTATTCATTGTGGTGCAGCAGTCATTCCAAAGTTCTTTTCCGGCTATTCTATTGGGGGAAGAGGAGCATTGGACAGAATCCAGAGGTCGTCCTCATTCTGAGCAGAACGGGCTGCAGATTGCAAAACAATCACTGTAAGTGTTGTTGCCACCTCTCTTTGTCAACCTCTTAGCCGGTGTCACTGACACAGGCGTGGAAAAGTGGTGGCAAAGAAGGCATCTGAAGCTGCAAAGAATCGCCTCTCGGCTGATCTCCATATTGTACTATAGGAGGTAAAGCGATGAGCTTTAACCTACGCTTAATAAAACTGATATGTTTGGTGCTTTCTGCAGATCTTGGGTTATATGCACTTTGGAAATGTTTCTTCCACCTTCTCTCCGATTCAACTTCTCAAACTCTGCGCACCCTGAATGTAAAGATGGTCCGACCTGTGATAAGCTGGCTATGATGCTCCCATGAGGCTATGCCAGTTCAAAGATCAAGACATGGTATGAGAGTGTGAAGGATGCCCGGGAGGCACGAAGTCCTTCGCTTTCGTGGTATGCGGGCGTTCTTTGTGGGGCGATCAGGTGAGTCAGGCCAGATATCAAAATTGAAGACTATAGTGGACCAGTGATGTTTGGAAATCTTTGAAGCGGAGAACGCATCGCCACTTCTTACCAACCCATGAGGATACTTGCCTGTCTTCATATGGGGGGTGTTGGACGCAAGTAGGGACCTTGGACACTTCAAGGGGCAAGTCACGGTAAACGTGTTTGTCCCTTCTCTCATTTCCAGTCAGACAGGCTCCTTTTTGCCACGCAAGCCGACGCCAGCTCGTTGCTGGTCGTTGGGCCCCATGGACCGCCAAGGCGCTGTCCTTCAAGGGGTTTGTCCCAGTGGGAGGCTGGAAGCGAGATTCGTTGAAGAAGAGTGATGAAGAGCGCACAGCTACCATCAGCTACATTTGCCAGTCCTATTCACATATTAATTTTGGAATATGTTGGATGACCTCACCTCCCCAAATTCTGCTTGTGTTTGGTAGCTGAGGAGGTGCATCATTTGGTGTTGACAGCGCACAGGGGGCCTCCAAGGAGGCTAGTGTTTTCATTTTTGCAGGGTCTATCTAGTGTATGTCAATTATCTCCCTTGTGGCATTGTGGGGTGACAAACCTGATCTCCCTTCTCCACAGCGGAGTCTTTGGGCCAGTGCCTTGGACATGTTGTTTTGGCCGAGGTCAAACCATCTCTGGTCAAATCCTCAGCCAGAGAGAGTGGAGCCCATATATGATCATATATGCCCGTACGAAAATATGATCCGTCCCATGGGTTCTCGTTCGACAGTTCGGGTGACCCAAAGAACTGGAGAGAAGAACCTGCAAAAGCATTGGTTCTCAGTGATGAGTCCTTAGCATTGGCTGAGGACCCCGATGTTTGAAACCGGATGTGCCACGATAAATCTCAAATATATCAAAAGCTTAATGAACGCACACCAGTGTAGGAAGAACAATGCAAATGGATGCACATGATGCAAACGATCGTAGGATTGGCCAATGCTCTTGGTGTGTGTGTGTGTGTCCACCCCTGGACAAAGGGTTTTCCACCGCTACTCCTTC